CCAGCGCGAGCACATCATGTTCGTGGCCTGCGCGCCTTATCTGGTCGCTTCTATGGCGCGCGCCGAGGGCGTGAAGCCATCACGCTCGCCTCGATCCTGATCGGCCTCGTGGCGGGCGTGGCGCTGGCCATGAAGCCGCACTATCTCGCCATCCCTGCGGGGGTCGAGATCTACCTGCTGACGCGCCGCGGCTGGCGGACCACCTTCACCGACCCGATCCCTTGGGCGATCGGGTTGCTGGCGGTCGCGCATCTCGCGATCATGTACCTGGTCTTCCCGGAGTTCGGGCACTTCGTGCTGCCGCTGGCGGTCGAGGCCTATGCGCCGATCGGCGATTCGGGCTGGCGCGAGGTACTGACCAGCAACGTCCTCGGCCCGACCCTGATCGCGCTGGCGATCTTCGGCCTGCTGGCCATCGTGTTCACCAAGACCATCGCCGCCCGCGTGCTGGTCGTGTTCGGGGTCGGCGCCGCACTGTCGGCGATCGGTCAGGCCAAGGGCTGGCCCTACCACGTGCTGCCCGCCCTTTCGGCAGCCATCCTGCTGGCGGCACTGACCGTCTCGCAGACCGTCGACCGTTACCTGCCGATCAGCCGCAGCGCCCACCGGCTGCCCGTGGCGGTGCTCTGCGCCACCTTCATGGTGCCTGCTCTATTTCCAGGCAGCGCTCTACAATCCACCCTTCTACAAGCAACGCCAGTTCGAGGATTCGATCGGCGGGCGGCTGCAGCACATCATCGAGCAGAACGCACCCAACCGGACGTTCCTCGTCCTGTCGCCGGGCATCTACCCGTTCTGGCCGATGGTGAATTACCTCGGCGGGCGCATGACCACGCGCTTCCTCACCATGTGGGTGCTGCAGGGCGTCTACGCGACCTGCGACGACTTCCCCGGCGCTCTACAATCCGCCCGACACGATGGGCGATTCCGAGAAGTTCGTGTTCGACGCGCTGAGCGAGGATTTCGCCCGTGAGCATCCCGACCTGCTGATCGTCGATCCGAATCGCCGGCGTCCCGCGCTGCCAGGGCAAGGAGTTCGATTATCTCGATTACTTCATGCAGAATCGC